CTGTCATTATACATCTTGACGCTTGAAATACTATTAAGTAATAATATAAGGAACTTTGATAAATAAGATGAAAAATATCTTTAAAAATTAAATTAAGTCTTGGTTTTCTTTGTTAGCATTCAGGAAATATTAATATAAGACCCACTGCTACATTCATATATTTGGATTTAATACGTTGAGCGATTAAAATGACGGCATATATGTTTTTCGATTTAATTAATAATATAAAATCTACAATAATTCTACTACTTAAAATTTATGCAAAATAGATATATTTTAAATTTACAATAGAATAACATCTGCCTCATAACATTAACTGACGATCGTGAGCCGTGTTGAGAAACAATCCTTTCATTCTCAACTCACCTCAGTTCAATTGCAATCCTTGAACTGTACAATATTGTCATTATCTTTATTGCAAAATAACTGCTCCCACAAAATAATGTTATCGAATATATTTAACATTACAGATGCAACTTAACAACAGATAGGTTTAATGATAAAATGTTTCAGACCTGAGGTCAAAAAGTCCTCAGTCCAGAAGATGTGAATAATCCGCCATTTTGGATTCCCCACCACTTTCGATTTTTAAATCCTTTATTAGTCTTATTACAGTGTATAAAAATATCTAGCACGTAATAATATATTTTAAAAGACGTCACTTGTTTTTTAGGGTGATAACTGAATTGTGTATTTGAAACTTTCATTAAATATTTACAGCAATTTTTGAAGAATGGATAAGTTACCTAAATGTTCTGGCTCCAGTGTCTGGTAATTTTAAATATAATACATAAATGCGGTCCATATTTTATATATGTTTAATCTCAATTAATATATTTTATCATCTGAAGAATGTCCCATTGTAATAGTCCCATTGTAGTTGTCCCATTTCGTATGAATTTGTGATATGAATTTTACAAGATTATAAATAATAATGCATAGTTAAATAACACTTATCTTAAATAAAACTTAGATTTACGGGTATACTACGCGTATTTATAATTATTTTGTAAATTACTGTCTGCCGGCGATCACGGTTGCTGCAAAGGAACCGACACTTCGGGATTGTGTAGATTGTAATATAGTGAAATATGCGTAGAATATACGGAAAACTTAGTTTTTTTTTAATGAATACACTCGTTAATCTTAGATATCATTGATAATTCTCTTATAAAGGACTAGTAGTTGATATTTTAATGAGTTATAGTATTGTCATGGTACATCTGTAGACTACAGGTATTATACATCATTGTCCATAGACTAAAACAAAGTTTCATACTTCTGCATTCTTACAAGACACTACTTACTAAAAGGCTGTGCCCACCTTATCTTGTTAAATTTAAGTGTTAAAGTTGTATGAATACTTTTATACTTACATTATAAGAGACCGCTTCGAATTAATTCGCTACGGGTCTTAATTCTATACATTCTATATACAGAAACATTTATTTTTACGCCATTAAAAATTTGTGAATGACATTGAAATAAATGGTAATAAAATATCATAGCTAAATATATTTCTTTTATGTTGAATGATAGATCCAGTGATTGAGATGAAAACAAAACATTTGTTTATATGTAGAATGTTGTTTTGTTCTCCGATTATTATCAATTATCACATATTTGACGTATTTAAGTAAGTATTTCTATTTCGTAATATTTCCTAAAAAACAAGAGTTCGGGAAAACTTTCTTTAATTTTTGTAATACATCATCAATTTCGTATTTATAAAAAAATACGATGTTAAATACTGTTAAACACTATCTGTTAACTGGTTAACTGTTAAATCTGTTAAGCACAGTTAGCTGTCAAATACAATATTAAACACTGTCATTAAAAAGTTAAACACTCCAATAAAAATAAAACCAGTTTATTATTGACATAGATGACGGAACTCTAATTTGAAAGCAAGATGCTGTAGGTACATGATATTTGTTCTTACTGAAACAGTTATCAATCTGGGAACAATTTAATTTATTTACCTTGTGTTACTGTATATATATTTTAAAATAAAACAGTAAGCTTGGTATAAATAGTTAATTATGACGCAAATAATTCATATATGAGAAGTTAATGTACAAAAAGTAATATATTGTTGAAAATGTACAACAATTAAAAAAATGGTTTACAGCTGTAAACCTAAATAAAGAAAAAATAATTAAGATGAAGGCTTTATATAGTAGTTTTATTAACTACATACTCATAAATTATATTTTTTTAAAACACATGAAATAGCAAAGCAATCTTAATGATAGTTTCCACATCACGAATGCTATCACTGTTTGAGAAACTGATAATGACGAATAATTATCTAAGGCTTAGGGTATTTGGAACTATTTATATATATCTTATTTAATTAATTTTATAATTTCTTGAGATTTTAATTAACATTTATATTTGTTATATTCAATGTATTATTTTATTTGTCCATGTATGTATACGCAACTTTATTATAACCCTGAGATTAAAAACAATCACATATTGCTCAATGAGATTTAATTTTAATCTGTACTCATTTGTGACAGAACTGTTAATTACCAAGTTACTTTCAAATAGCATGAAAGTGGAGTACAAGACTCGTTTTCGTATATTTATTTTCTGTGTGAACTAATTTATTCTTTAATCATAAAATAAACTAAACATATTCAATTATAAACAAAAAGACAATTTAAATCTAGCATCCGTCATGTGTAAGATTATTTGGCCTTCTTTTTTATCTAACAACAAACTTTTACTACGCAGAAAATAATTTAAGAAAATGCAAGAAACTTAAAAATTCTCATTTCAAGCGAGTAAAGAATCCCATTCGGGTACCCCGTGAACTTTCGACAAAAAGACATGTCTTTTTTTATAATAATGTAATGATTTTTTTTATGTTAGTAATTAAGAGTCCCTCAAACAGTATAATTCTATGCTTAGTCTGTTACAATTTAATATGCAAAATATTTCAAGTCTTTTTATATAAACTAAGTGTTTAATAAATCTTCTCTCACTAAAATTGTTGTAAGTAGAGCCTAGAGATAGAGCCTAGCTGTGGTCAAATTACTACAGCTTCAACCTGGGCTAGCTCTACCGGGGATGCACCACCTTCTCACTGAAGATCGGCGTGAAGTAGCCTTTAGTAGCTGCTTTTCGTCCGACGAGTGGAAGAGCTAGTTGCTTTTTCCCTATTCCTACCATTTCCTCTTTTCTCAAAAATCAAGGTTGGCAACAATTATTAAGTTGCAGATGTCCATGGGCGATAGTTACTACTGCCAATTTAGTAGACCGTCTGGTCGTTTGTCACCTTTCTCATATAAAAAAAAAAATCTATTAGCCAATCAGAAATTTCAGTTGACTGGCAAGATTTTTCGATAAGGTAACATTAATTTCGACGACAGTTCAATTCAAAAATAAAATAAATTAAGGTATAAATGAAACAAACATTAATTTTATGTCTTTTATTTCTTATAACAATTCTACTATTTCAGACGCGTTCAACAATTGCAATTACAAATGTTGTCAAAAGTTTTTTTTTATTCCATTAAATAGCAAAACATACAAATATAAACTATCTAAAATTAAATTATCTTATACATACATATATGACATCCGTTTCTTTATTTCAATGGAATTTCGTTACTAAATTTGACTACAGATATCAAAGAGGGTATGTCATACAGGTTGAAATAAATAAATAAAACTAGGACAGACTCGCTGGTTTCAACTACTTAACACGTTACAACTGTTACTGCCGAACTGAACTACGCTGTTTTATATAAAATTTATAACTAAATGTTTATATAAGCGAATTTTTATATGTATATATATATACTAGCATTCCCTTATTGACGGTATGTATATTGGTTCTCATTATTTACACATGCACTATGTTTTTATATGATGGGTATCGAGTATAGCCGCGGTTTTATATATGTATGTGTTTCTGAAATGTACTGTTGTTAGAGAAATATATATCGTATAATATGTATTATAAACCCATCAGATATTTAAGTGATGTGGATTTTTGTTTATTTTTAATCAATTGATTACGATTTTAATATGGTAGTAATAGGCGTGTTATATAATATTTCGTCAATATATTTAATACACCGTCGAATTACAAGATAGTTTTTTTTTCAATATTTTTTATAGACCCACTAACATCAAACATAGTGCAATTATATTGAATCTAAACTGTATATAAAATTTTGCTACTTAAATATCAAATTATAAAAAGTCAACACGTCCTACAACCTAACTTGTACAGTGCTACTTCGATTACAATTATATCGAAACGATTATATTAAACACGATTTTTGAAAAATTTTATTTGATTCCAAAAAAAATGTATTTATAAAGGAAAGTAAAAAGTTCAATATACCATAATTAGGCCTATTATAAATAGTGTTGTCGAGTAACAAAGTAGCACGATATAAGGTACTGATTGATGTTTAAACATTCGACCACCGCGTAGTCGATTACGAACTCTTAAACTAGAACATCTAACTTTCATCCCGAGTTTCCATACAAAAGCCCAGAAAATACTAGATTATATATCAGAAGCGTATTTATTTTACATTTTCTTAAAAGCACAAAACTACTAACTGATTTTTTATAGACTCGACGGTTTCACACCAACACATATATACATATACAACGAAAACCATCTTACAACGAGTCCTTCGTTACACTTCAAACGTGAAGTTACGCGTTTCACATTGCATAACCTACTTTAATTAATCTTCGGTGAATTATAAACGAAAACGTATAAACGATACGTATGAAGTATGACGCGGACTTGTAGTAGCGTTCTGGTTCTACTCTACAATGTATTTTCCATTACACGACTCCAATACCTAATATATTATAGGGTGTTGATTTTTTTTTTAACATTTCCGATTAAACTCCATATAAGTGTCACATAATAGTGCATAATTTATTTCATATATATTTATATAATATGTAATACAGTGTGATGTGATAGCGTCAAGTCCAATACTTATGCTATGAACAGCTGTCTAATGTTCTTGGTCAGATGTCTCCACGTTCTCTGTTTGTGCAAATTTCAAGAAAACCTGCTCCAAGGTTGTCTGACTGAAGCTATACTCCACAATGTTCAGCTTTTCTTTAGCTTTAAAATGTTAATTTATGTTATTAATAACATTGCATAGTAATACTTACAAAGACAATGAAGAGCTAAGAGTAAAATGTGTAAATATAGAATTTATCTAAAAAATAATAATATGATACTAGTTTTTGCCCGCGACTTCGTCTGCATTAGTTTCAGAATAACAAATGTATACATAACTGACTGGACTAACTTCTTAAAGACAGTATTCTATTTCTTCTTAAAGACAGTACATAAGAATATTTTACATTTAATAGTGTTATTTTTATTTCTTTTTCAATAGGATAAAAAGTATCCTATGTCTTTTCCCTTATTCTAATATATATCTCCACCAATTTCCAGCCAAATCCGTACAGTCGTTCTTGAGTTATAAATAGTGTAACAAACACGATTTTCTTATATATATACGTATATCCTTATAAACTCACCCTCCTCTATCTGCTGGAAGCAACTAGCGAGGCTGGAGACAGAGCTCTGTGGTACAGAGAACACGAGCCTCTCAGCGAAGCTCTCCTCGAGCGTGGCGGCCGGGAACAGTGAGCCTACCAGCGCTATCGCTGCTTCAGCACACGCGCCACCACTAGACTCAGTACTGTGTGGACCAGGGTACAATACACTAAAGACTAAATGAAACCCTCCAAGAAGAAGATCTTTACATGGAGCCGTTAGAAATATATCTGATGTCGTAACTTCGCTTAATTGGTATATAACCTTAGATGTTATTCTTACAATCCATTTATTATCTATGGGCTAAATTTGCTAAATTTTAATCATAATCGTAAAATATAAAGATTTACAATTAAAGCTTTAATGAACATTAATCGAGCATAAAATGTGAAGGTCATCGCAGATTTATTTAAATTAATAGCTGGTATTTGTATCACACTCCACTCACCGCTGATGATGCAGTCTCATGGAGGGTGTGTTCCCGACCAGCGGTGTGTGAATGCTGACATCCACAGCCTCACCCTCACCCTCAACTTCACCCTCAATATCACCCTCGCGGCCACAGTCACCCCCACCTGAACCTTGACCGGAGCCAGCTTGTAAAAAGACAAGTGTACCAAATTGTAACTTTTTGTATTAACTCTATATGAATACACAAAAGTATTGTAATATCTCTGGTTAAAGATACTTTATTTCTCAAAAAGAAATTACATTTCACATACTTGAGAAAATTATGACTATAAACATATTTTAAATTAAAACTTCGACAATCATAATAAATGTATCACTGGGTAGTTTAACATATTCTTACAATAAATTTAATAAATAATTGTGTACAAAACAGTGATAAGAAATGCAAACTCATAGACATAGAGTATCTGGAATGTTCTTTTAGAAGTGTAGCTTAAATTACCTTCATCAGCTTCTTCCAAAGACGGAGAATTGTCTTGAGATCGCAAAGGAGATGGAGTCATAGACAGATCTGTTTCTAACATCTGTTAACAAAATTAATAAATCTAGTCCATTGAATGACAAAAATATACATATAATTCATAATAACTATTAAAACATACAAAATTATATACATATATCATTATGTAATTCATAATTATGTGTGTCAAAAAACAATACCGTAGATTTCTGGTTGTTTTGTCCTATCTTCATCTCTAAAGTGTAACCCGCACCGTACAGGTTTTTCAAATGTTGCGTGGAACCGATACATCTGGGAAAAATCATACATTATAATAACAATTCGATATTAGTGCTATGTTAAAAGTTATATAAATATTACCTCAAACCTCCCTTAACCATAATCCCAACTCTAGAACATAAAGCATCAGCCTCTTCCATGGAATGTGTTGTCAGTATAGCACCTTTTTTGCCCTGGATGAACAGAAAATTATAACCAAATAAGGTAATTAGGGAGAGTTCTTATTGAATTGTTTATTTTATACCTGGAAGCTCGCCAGTATGGTGTCCCATAGGAATCGTTTGCTGCGAGGGTCCATGCCGGTGGAAGGTTCGTCTAAAAGAGCTACTCTTGGTGAGCCAACTAACGCTAGCGCGAAGGACAACTTCCTTCTAGTACCTCCTGAACACTCTTCAGCATTCTTACCGGCGTGCTCCGCGATCTGGAGGCCGTGGAGGTAGGCCTCTACGATACTGTGGATGATTATATATAGACATAATAATATATACATATGTAATAATAAATCACTTCTATTGTCAAATAGATTTTTGTACTGTAATGGATGATATATGTATATATATTTTTCTCGTTATGAAGGACTATAATGTCTTTTCAACAAAAAAATGCATCTAAAAATTTACGGTCATATAAAATAAGTGTATAAACATCTTAGAAAGCTTTAAAATTTCATATATTTTAGTGTTTTTTTTTGTACCGAGGTGTGTCAGCCTTGCTGATTCCTCGTATAGCGGCGTAACACTCGATGTGTTCCCTGATGGTGACGTTCTTCCAGAGCGCGTCGTGTTGTGGACAGTAGCCTAGCATCTGGAACGCGCTGGACTGAGCCTCCTCTATGTTCTGACCGCCCAGCATCACCTGAGATGAGATTGGAACAATTTCATATTATTTACCATAATTGAGTGAATTGAGTCAAAAGCTATATTGGCAAATCATTCATCCACGAAGATGAACTCGGCAAATGAATGTCGAAAGACTCGATGTTTTTGTTCCATAGCTGAGTTATGTGGGGTGATTTTTATAAAAAAAAAATTGAGATCGGACACCAATTTCAATTTGAGGTCCAGAAAAAGGAACCAATGTGCGAAAAAAGGGTTCGCTACTGAAAGTTTTTTTTATAGAAGGTGCATTTTCTAGTAATTAATGTTTCATCAATATAAATGGAAGATATTTATTGTATGTTATATGTATGTAGATATAAGACTGACGGTGCCGCATGAGAGTCTCTCCTCAGCGGTGATGATCTTCATAGTAGTTGTCTTCCCCGCTCCATTGTGTCCCAATAGACCGAACACCTCGCCGCCGTGCACAGCCAGCGACAAACGAGCGAGTGCCGCGCGCCGTAACGATTCCCCTTCCCCACAACAAGCACCACTTCTAGAGTTACGAAGCTTGTACTCCTTACGAAGATTCTGGAACAATGTCACTATGAATATATGAAGTTTGATATCCTACTATTATAATTGCGAGTTTGTGAGTGTGTGTTTGTTACTTCTTCACATTCAAACGACTGAAGCGATTTTGGTAAAATTTTGCATATAGGGAGCTGACGTCCAGGAATATCACATAGGCTATTTTACATCTCGGAAATCCGCGGAGAACAGCTAGTATATGTATATATTGTAAAGTGATGTGAGTGTAACTGACATGAACGAGTAGCGCCGGCGGTGTGCTGTCCTGTTGCGTGCGTTGCGCGTGCAGCAGAGCGCCGACACGACGCCGCTCGCGTCTCACATCCTCGTCTTCTAGACCGTCCGCCACTTCCGCCTCGACGTCCGCTTTCTCTGATGTACTGCTCTTGCGCTGGTTATATTATAATCAGAATTAATAAGTAACTGGCAAAGAAAACGCTTTTTTTTAAGGGGAAAATCATCAAATGACCCCTCTTGTCCTGGGTGAGGCGAGAGAGAGTGTCAGACTCTTACTGACTAAAAACATCACTGCGCTTACACCCGCGACCACAAAGTAAACCGTAGATGAACTAATGAACATTGCGTCAAAGTTTAATACAGTTTTAATACTAACAAAAGAATATCTATATAGAGCTCACCGGCCATAATCGCCCTCCAGACTTGAGTCTATCAGCAGCCAACAACGCGGCCCCACAGACAGGGACGTGTAGTAACATAGCTGCGATGAGGACCCAAACCTCCGCCGTGAAATAGCTGCTTAGGTCCGGCACCGTGCATAACCCACGGAGATTACACGTCAGATATACCCTGGAGTAGATAAGACTTTAATTAGAGTCTTAATGTAAGAAAAACAGAAACTGTCATATAGGAAACAAATTTTTAATATCAAATATAACTGTGGATATAACTCACCTATCAACATAGTATATGATGGCGTAAGGTATATACATAACGTCTAGAAAACTGAACACTAGATGGAGATAGAACGCTATGTTGGAACCTGGAATTGATAATAAAATATTAGAAGAAGAATTCCTAAGTTATTATCAAATTATTGGTAAAAAAACTCACCCCATTTGAATGTATCGAGAACAGCGACCAGAATGAACGGTATGACGCCAACCCAGGTCGTTATATTGGGCATGATGCTTTGAGCGGAGTCCATCTTGTCGAAGATGTATGAGAGGCAGGTATTGAACAAAATGGCGGACGGGCTGTACAGTAGCAGCAGGAAACAGAGCATCGTGATGGCGGAACCATTTGTCAGGCTTGGGATGTCGTTCACCATCACCTGGAAAACAGACCCATTGGGATAACATATAATCACATGTAATAAAACATATTAATTAGTTAGTGATTATGTTTTTGTAAGGAAATAAAAAGAATCTTGCTGTAATGAAGTTCATCCATAATATATACATATACAATAACCCTCTCATGAATACGAAATTGCTTCAAGGAAATCAATAATTTGGATTAAACTTGTTTTATTAATCCCACATCTAATGAAAGCTTAAAACAGCAAGTAAATAAATATTAACCATAAAATATTTCGTCATTTTCAATATCTTTTACTTTAAAGATCTGTAAGTAATAGTAATATTGTTATAAGACTCGGATTCTCACCAGAGCTAGTACACCAGCGCTAGTAACCACCATGATGAAGATGAGGATAGTGAAGTAAGTAAGGAAGTACATGCTCATAGATAGGCCGTTCACCCGCAACTGGTTCTTGGCTTTTATCTGGATACAAATACACACATCAAATAAATTACAAAAAAAAATTAATGTAGCGCCATCTATTGACAAAATTCAAGTACCTCTCTATCATAAACAATGTCCACAGCGAGTGTGACTGGGACTAGCGCGAAGATCATTCCCATGAAGATGGCGCACACTACGTTCCCAAGATTGAACTCCTCCTGCTGCTCGGTCTGCTGGAAGGGATGTGTGAGGACCTCGATAGGGTGGAAGTTGTCCAACTGGTTCGTTGACGACATTAGTACCCTGGTCATGAATAAATATTTTCTTATATAATTTATAACACTTTCAATATTTTCTATATATTAGTTATATTGAAAATGGAGAAGCTTTTTAGGTCTTAATCTGTCAGTTCCACGACGCTAAAAATTATATCTTAACTGTATAATATATTGTAACCAAGAATTTGTTGTGTTTCAATGACTTCTTATTACCTACAGTACTCTTGGCTACCAAAGTCTTGAGAAGTTCAATAGGAAACATCAAACATACTAGCATGGAATAAATTTAGTGGATTCCAAGATTAAAGTTATTAAACTCTAATACACTTCTACACGTTGAAGACTTTATCAATATTTATTTGGTTGGAAAAATTCTAAGATTTTATTCAGGTCCTTAAGTACATGATAGTTTTAGGCCCAATAGTAAAGAACTTGTGCCTGAACTGAAAACTCACCTGTACATAGTGTTGTCCAACAAGTTTATTATAATCGGCAAACTATGTGTGTATGTACTATTGTAGTACGCCATTATGTTTCCAAACGATACGAGGCTGTCCTTCAAACTAAACGCTCCAAAATTCTCCATATCCAGTAAACTAGAGAAGTTCCCGTCAAACATGTCTATGGGATGAGCTCCGAAAGTTTCCAAGGAATCCCTGAATTGATCAATTTGTTCCATATTGTCAGATTCACTAAACAAGGCGATCGGAGTTTTATTGAAATACGCGTTGGGATCCAATTTGAGTGGCTGCATACGAAAAAATACAATCTGGCGAGACTTCATGTATAGACCCAAAGCGCAGGAAACTGAAAAGAGTATAAAGTGTTAAAAACTTTTCAATATAAAACATTTTATGATTTTCTATGTAAGTTAATCAAGAGGCTATAACATTTATTAAACAAGATACAATATTTAGGCTATGTAATAATTAGAGAAACCAAGAAGTTATGGCCATATATATTAATATATTAGCGTATACACTTTAACTAAGATGTATACATAATTAAGACTTCTATAATCGTGTATAGATTACATTAAATAATTTCTTCTACTCACTGATAGGCATGAAGATCATGACGTATAGCTTGTAAGGATCCCGTATCATTCGCACGGTTCGGATGTATACGAGAGCGCAGAATGTGCGCCAACATGATGGACGTGTCACTAGGGCTTCGCTGAGGGCATCTACAGAAACTGGTGCTTCAGGAGTAACCTGACGATCAGAAAGTTATATGAAGCCTTAGGAATACCTATCTTCGCGATATTATAGTAATCTTAACCTATTTTTTTAAAATAATCGAGGAATATTCACATTACAGGTTATTTTTTAAACACTATAATACCAAAATGTGAGTTGGTTAGTTTGATATACCTAAAGTAACCAACTAAGGTGATCAGAATGTATCCTTATAACTTATAAGTGGGTTAAGAAACTTTATGGATCCTCGACTTGGACGATCTACTTCAAAATTGAGTACAGGTAATATTGCACTTGTTTAACTTGTCCTTTGTGAACTACATTGAGTTTGGAGAAGAAAAAATTCAATTCTTCTGAAGTTTTAAAATGGTGTCCTTAGACTGTAAGCAAGCTTTTATGAATTATTTAACAAATATTTATCCATCCATTCCCCTGCACATAGAATATATTTTCACATTTTCGCATTTAAAATACTAGTATTACTAAGATTTTACTCTTATTTTTGTAAAAGATGGCTATTTAAATTAATAGCAAAAGAAGTGTTTTATTAAAAAATAAATTTTTGTTCTGAATCAAATATTAAAGAAAAACCAATTACACAAGGGTCGGTTCGTAACGAAATATGGTATCTGAATACAAAGTTCTTTCAACTCAAAAATTGGGAAGTTTGAAAGTACAAGTAAAACTGACCTTGAAAGGATATTCCTTAGGATTTTCGAGGAAGCGAACGTTGTTATATTGTATTGAGATCCTTTACCTTATTTACCTTAACGTGTTCGACGCCATGCGTGGTGGAGTGGAGCGCGTGAGAGGCGGCCGGAGTTGGCAGAGAAGTGGTCTTCTGCTGCTCTTTGTCATTCAATTCCTATAATACGAACATAGCATTTTATTAATTATTTCTTTTTTGGAATATAATTTTCACAGTGACAAAAAAAAATTGTACAACCATATTCTCAATAGGATTTTTTTTTTTTGGAAGAAAGTGACGCAATTTTTTAGTCTTCTCGACCTAACTTGACGTTGGATTAAAAATGTCTAGATTATATGTAAGAATTCCAAATATGTTCCTTACCTGATAGCTTAAAGTCTTGCTCTGGAGGGACAAGCTTCTGGAGAGGGCGCGGGCCCTCACTAGCTTCACGGAAGACACTCCCTCGACCGCTTCTGTCTCCTCAGCATTTTCTCCTTCGAGACTGAGGAACACCTCTTCAAGGGTCGTCATTGATACTCCATAACTTGTGATGCCTGTATGACGTTTATATATTAAAGTTATATTAATGTATATTCCTTTTAAATACCTATAAAACTAAAAATATCACAAACTGATTACGAAATAAGTTCTTATTATAATTATTGTTCATTATCGTACAGCAAAATATTAATATCAGCTTAGTGAGGGTAATCATAAATTTGTTAATTGACAGTGAATTTTCATAAAATGTTGCTTGTAACTTATTAGTATAATTTAGTTTAGACAAACAATAATATCGGGTCTCAGAATAAGAAGTAGATCACTTTAAGTTGCTGCACCGGAGAAAAGTATAATAGGTTTTTAAAAACATTTTTAATGTCTCTTAAAATATATGTTCTTACGCTTGTCTTTGTATTAATTTTAAAACATAAAACTAATTATTTTTATGCTTAGTTACATGGCAATTATACTCAGTTACACGGCAATCATATTTTTTTCTTAGAAAGTTGTAATGAATGTCAAATATACTGTAACTAAGCTAAAATCACTTAGAACATATTCAGAAATTCGGATATTCTTTAATTTGATTGGCACTATAAGCAAGATAAGGAACAACTTTATTGTTGTTAAAGTGTATTAAAAAAAAACAAGACAAAATTTTAACATTATATGACTAATATTATGAACATTTTAAAAACATCACGAACTGAATTTACTGAGGTCTTTACATTAATAATAATAAAAAAACGATATTGCAATGGATGTCATTTATCCTTCGATCCATCAGTCAGCATTTAGTTTGGGATATTATATTACTAAGATTCTGAATATGAATGTCAATTCTGAATTCGAATAGCAATTCTGAATTCGAATGTCAATTCTGAATTCGAATGTCGATTCCGAATTCGAATAGCAATAGTGCCAGTCGTTTATATCAGCCATTTACTAACCTAGTCTGTTGGTCTTCTCTCGTATCTCCAACTCGATAGCCTGAAATAGTGGCGGGAACAGATGTACGGTATAATGCGGTAGGATATAGGAGAGCTCACGACCATGACGACGAGCCTTCTCCGCCCGTGGAACATGACCACGGACCAGGCGAGTGATCTGGTGCTCACGACATGCACCTAGAGTTTTATATGGAAAATTAATACTTTACCATATCCATCTATATGAAAAACTTCTTGGTCACAAAACGAATGTTGACTTACCGTCTAGTACCAGCGTCAGATGATATCCAATACCGAATTTGTTCTTCAGAAACAGTGACGTACCAGCACAGCGTACCTGCAAAAAATTAAAAACAAATATAGGTTGACGTGGAAGCTTTATTATAAACTAGCTTCCCGCCCGGAGCATCACCCGCATGAAGTCCGGTTATATTGCGTTTCCAAGAGAACCTTTAAAAGTATGGAATAAAAACTATCCCATGTTCTTTCTCAAGGTCAACTCCATTTCTGTACCAAATTTCATTAAAATCAGTTCAGTGGTTTAGGCGTGAAAGCGTATTTTCCATTGTTAACCCCCCGCAACACCCCTTGTGGGTGGGATTTCGTAAAACCGTTCTTAGCTGATCTCTACTCGGCGAAAGGAATAATCCTACCAAATTTCAAGTTGATACTCCTTATGGTTCCAGAGATATCGTGATGAGTCAATATATAGGTGGAAATCTCTTAATTTGTACTGAGTTGTTTCCCAAAGTACTAACCCGTCCTTTGCTGATAACAGCCTTCCTATCTCCCAGGATATCCGCCTCATCCATGAAGTGAGTGGTGAGGAGTAGCACCCTTCCACGACGAGCTCGTTGTAACACGCGCCAAGTCTGACGACGGGAGACAGGGTCCACACCAGCAGTTGGCTCATCCAGGATTATAATCTGGATTGAAAAACTCACATCAAATACTAAACTGATAGGTATATTTTGTATAGATATCTCATTGGGAAATAATAGCATCTTCTTGGACATACATGAACACTAGCTTTAGAAACATTGTAAGGAAGTTTTCTATTTAAAATAATTACAAATTTTAATAGGAAAGTAAGATAGTCTTCCTGACTCTTAAAAGAAGTATTACATGAAAATAAGCGGATATAAAAATATTGATATTATCCTGTCTTGTAAAATGATGGACACACGAAGAGAAGCATCCGTACAAAAGATAGTTAAAATATATCATTAAAATACATGTATGTGAGTGTCGTCACTTCTCTTTACAGACGCCGAAAATAGACGGAGATATGATAACAAATATAGTAAGATTAATCATTAGGCTATAGAATTAAATAATAATAATTTCAATAGAGAAGAATAAAACTACTTTCATTTGCAAAATTTTTTTTAGAAATTATGTAATCTGGTCTTAAATTGCTTCTGATTTTTCATAATTAATAAGTGACTAATAACCTTGAGAATGATTAAAAATAAAAATCAATGTAAAATTCCTACCTTCGGATCCCCTATAAAAGCTATAGCGATGCTGAGTTTTCTCTTCTGACCTCCTGAAAGATGTTTGGAGAACACGTGCATTTGATCCAAGAGACCAACTTCTGATAACGCTCTCTGAACTTCACCCGGAACACGTTTACGAGGTATACCCTAGAAGATATTGAATATATATATATTTAACATCTTATATATAAAACTTATTTGCAAAGTTTAGAGAAATGCCATATCACTAAGAGAAAATTTGTGACGTTCCTTTTTCACGGTAACATGGAAGTTTAGTAAAAGAAGCATAGTAAGACTGTCCAAAAAGACAAATAGTTGAAATGTAAATGAGTTTATTTGTAGGGTAATCAAAGAATAAATATAACTAAATTCTCTTTCAGTGACTTCACCAAAACTAGGTTATCTTATGCTAAACATTGAGGTTTGAGTATGGAAGATTTGGTATTTTATAGGTACAATGACCATGTTTGGCAAATCAAACCTTAACAGCCGCGAAGAATTGGAGATGTTCTTTGACGGAAAGTAGGTCGAACAGCACGTCCTGCTGCGGGCACACTCCTATCATTTGACGGATCTCGTGCATGTCGTTAGGATCCCTATAATAAGAAAATAGCACAAGTTCATTCAAGAAATACGAGATATACCATTATTACTACCATGACTGATCTGTAAAATACCTTTAAAACTTTATCTTTATCAACAAATCTTTTTGTATTGAAATTTAAGCTTGCACAATTTTGTGAGCTAACTCCAATTTGTTACCTATTAGTTCAGTCCGTTTTCTATCAATAACAATAATATTTCATCACTGCAGTAATATAAGCTAATGATAAGTTAGTCACAATTCTAACTAACCGAACATCCAGACCATAGACATAAGCTGTCCCAGCTGTTGGAGAGGTGAGGCCAGTCAGTATGTTGAAGAGTGTTGACTTCCCAGCTCCGTTGTGACCTAGCACCGCCGTGATCTGACCCTCATATATACTCAGGTCAATACCATCAATAGCCTTGACCTCTGGTCTTCGGCAGTGGCGGAAACTCTTTTGAAGACCAACTATCCTTATCGCTTCTTTATCTTGTAGTTCCCTATTGGTGATATTCGAAAAAATATCAGTTTTAATTTTTTAATGTGATTAACATACTGAAAACTTTTATGTATTGCTTCATCTGCCAGGAGTTTAAACTAATTTGTGCTCTTAATATTCGTATAGAGATGGTGTAACATTAGGTATTGGTGCAGATTTTAATCTGATTATATTTAGGCTTCACACATATTATAATAATAATATAATAATAATAATAAAGCTTTATTTGATTCCACATTCCACATTCTAATTTATAAATTATAAATTTTTATAAACTAGTATAAATAAATTTTACAATTAACGATACAATAATTACCTAACCTAGTATAAATGGTTAAAATTAATCATTAGTTTAATTCATTATCATTCATTTATTTATTTTATCATTCATTATCTTCAGATTAAATAGATTTATTATTTTTGTCGTGGCTTATGTGGACCCCCTTCGGGTAAAAGCCTCCTCCAAGGACTTCCATCGTTCTTTATGTCTAGCCAAGGATATCCAATTTTTTCCTGCTATCTTTGCCAGTTCATCTGTCCATCTAGCACCTGGGCGGCCTCTATCCCTACGACCTCTAGGACCTTGCCATTTCACCACTCTGATGGTCCACCTATCGTCGTCGTAACGGGCTACGTGTCCCGCCCATCTCCATTTCATTTCTAGCGAGAAAGTTAAAGCGTCGGTTAATTTGGTTTTGTTACGAATGTCCTTGTTTTTTATCTTGTCCCTCAATTTTACACCCAATAAGCTTCTTTCCATTCTTCTTTGTGTAGTTTGTATTTTGTTTCTGGTTTTTAGGTCGAAAATCCAAGTTTGAGAACCGTAGGTAAGACATGGTAAAATCACTGAATCCATAACTATTTTCTTGATTGACGTTGTGAGTTGTGATTTGAGTATTTCTTTATGTGCCCAGTACTTCTTCCAGGTTATTGATATTCTACGATCTATTTCCTCCATGTTTCTATCCTTTCTAAAAGAAATCTGTTTGCCCAGATAAACGTAACTATCTACAAACTCTAGGGGGGTTTTTTTTACGAAGATGGGCGCAGTGTGGTGGTTAGTCATTATTTTCGTTTTATCAAGATTCATTTCCAGACCGACCTTGATGCTAGCTTCGTTCAGATCGCTGATCATATTGTTCAGTTGTGCCGGGCTCTCGGAGAGTAGAATTATATCGTCGGCGAATCGGAGATGGCTTAGGTAATCTCCGTTTATGTTTAATCCCTTCGTAGACCATGGTAGGTTTTTCATTTGGTGTTGTAGTACAGCTATGAATAGTTTTGGTGAGAGCGGGTCGCCTTGTCTCACGCCTCTGTTTATATTTATTCTTGTACCCATTCTGTCTAGTTTTATTCTGCTTGTACTTTCCGCATATAAGTTTTTCAAAATGTTTATGTATTTGTCTTCAATGTTTATTGCCTCTAAAGCTTCCCAGATACTATCGTGCGATATAGTGTCGAAAGCTTTTTTGTAGTCAATGAACGCTACATATAAAGGTCTGCGGAATTCTGCATATTTTTCGATTACCTGGTCTAGAACTTGGATGTGGTCGTGTGTGCTGAAGCCTGATCTGAAGCCTGCTTGTTCTATCGGCTGATGTGCGTCGATCTTCGAAGATATTCTTGCGAGCAAACAGGAGGCAAACAGTTTGTATAGGCAAGACATTAGGCTTATTGGACGATAATTTCCTATATCCATTGGGTCTCCTTTTTTGTACAACAAGATTATTTCTGATTCCGTCCATGAATGTGGCACGGCTTCCTCATCTAATATTTTATTAAATAATATAGTTATAGGCCTCAATAGTAGAGTTCTTGCAATTTTAATATATTCATTTGGGATTCCATCTTGACCTTGGCTTTTTTCAGATTTTAGCTTTGTAATTTGAATTAAGATTTCAATACCAGCAAATTCAGAAGTTGGAGATGTATTTTTGGTTTGGTTGGTATTTTTCCTGTGATTTGTATGAATAGGCAGGCTGTAGAGGTTCGCATAAAAATCTGTAGCAACTTTTATGATGTCCATCCGGGAAGTAGCTTTCTTCGAGTTCGAATTGAGGCAAGTGATCCAGTTCTTTGTTTTGTTTAATTCTTTATACGCCTTTTTTGCTGACCTTGACTTATCAATGTGTTTCTTTATAGTGTTTACTCTGTACGTATCGTAGCATCTCTTTATTTCTTTGTTTGTAGTTTTGTAGAGCATTTTCAATTTTTCTTTGTCGTTCTTGTTTAATTTTAGTTTGTTTTGTAATTCGTTACGTTCTTTCATTAGTTTTAGTGCTTTATCTGATAATATTCTATTTTTTTGGTTTGTTTTTATATTTTTAATGCTGTTCAATATAGAGTGCTCGATCTTCCGACAGTATTCATTGGCTTTGTAGTTAGTGCTTGCCGATATGAGTTCAGGTATATATCTTTTCAGATTTTCGAGGTAAGTATCTTGCTCTTTCAATGTTTTCAGTGTTGTTGATGGGTTGGAAAAGTTGCGTCTGTTTCTCTTTTTTACGTTCAAGTCTAATGTAGCTCGCAGCATTCTGTGATCTGAACCGAAAGTGGCCGATGACAGGACCTCGTACTTGGAGATAAGTTTTGGTTTTGTTGTCATGATATAATCGATTTCATTTTTTGTATTTTTGTCTGGGGATGTCCATGTCCATCTTCTATGCTTCTTTAAATTGAACATGGTATTTGTGATTTTCAAATTGTTTTCGTACGCATATTGAATCAGTCTCACTCCACGAGCGCTTCTGGCTCCATATCCGTATTGTCCAGTCACTGAGTGTTCGTGGTGTTTCGGTTTCCCAATTTGGGCGTTGAAGTCGCCCATGGAGATTATGTTATCGGTCGAGATAGAGTCGTGAGCTTTAGCAAGGTCATCATAGAAAGTGTCAATATCCTCTTGCGATGAGCCCTCAGTGGGTGCATGCGCTTGTATAATGGCAAAGGGTAGCTTTTCCAGAATAATTTCTAATATACATACTCGATCTGATATTCCGATGAAGGTTGTGATGTTTGTTTTGTACTTTTTTTTAACCAGAAAGCCCACACCCAATTGGCCTTTAGTTGTACCGAAGTAGTACATGACATAATCATCGTCTTCGATAATATTTTCTCCCAGTCGGCGGACCTCGCACAGGCCCAGTATATCGTGGTTGATGTTTTTTTAAAGCTGCTTTTAACTCTATCAGTTTTGTTGCAGACGAGAGCGATCGAACATTGAAGGTGCAAATGTAGTATTTGGTTATATTTCTTGCTTTCCTTGGAGGGTTTTGGTCGTATTCTCCCGCGGTGACCAGCCGTGTTGGGAGATTGGAGGCGAGTAGAGGGTCCAGCTGTAGTTGCTATACGATGTTACTATGTGATGTTGTCTCCGAATAGTTATTACTGATGTCCGTCTGAGTGAGTACAAGTTTTGGTTTTTGTATTACGTAATCTTTCATGTTAGATAATTTGTTTTTCTTCGACAGTTGTCTAGTGACGCCACTAACGGGTTGTCTACTATGGCTGATCTCTGGTGATTCCGACAAATTCCTCTTGTTTAGCTGGTTGTTCGTAGAGTTCTTATTATTCTGCAGCACGATAAGTTTATCGTATTTGATGAAAGCAGTATTGCCAGCTTCCTTTTCTTTTTGCAGTTGGGCTTGTAGTTCTCTGCGCTTGTTGAGGATTTCTATGGGATAATCTTCCTTAATATAGTATTGTGTGTTTTGTAGAGATTTTTTATTTTTTTGAATCTTGATTTTGAGGTCCATAGTAGTAAACGTTATTATAACCGGCCTAGGTTTTTCGCCTTTCTTTCCTACTCTTCTGACAGCTTCGATGTTGTTATTATCGCATGCGGCTATAAAATACATATTTAATATTTTTATGATTGAGTTTACTAATTCTTCATACGATTTTTCTTTGTCTTCGACTCCGAACAATACTAAATTCTTGCGTCTGATATGCCGTTCCAAGATATTTATTCTTTTATTCTGTTCTTCTATCTTTGTTTCCAAAAATTCATTTTTTAATTCAAGGCTTTTTAAACTTTTCATTAATATTGCTGTTAATAGTGTTTTTTTATGTCTTCCTTCATGTCTGCCATGTCTTGTTTATGCTGTTTAAGGTCTTGTTGCATATTCATCAACATGCTTTTAATTTCCTCCATAGTGTTGCGGATGTGACTCCTAGCGCCCCCTATTAGTATTTTGTCGTACTGTAGTTCCTTTAGATAGATCAAACTTGCGCTGAATGTAATGTATAGCAAACGCTGTTGGGTAACTTCACTAGGTGGCGGTGGTAAGTATCAAGCCTGTGATGCCCGCTGTTTCCGCTGGATGGCGGTATCTAGTATACGTAAATTGTCACTTCGAACTGTTATCGGGTGGATAGGTTAATTTTGACCATTTGCAATAGATGGCGTTGCTGTACTTTGGAATGACGTAGGCCGAATTGTGGATAATTACATTTCATTTTTTAGGTTATAGCTAGTGTTGTTTTTATTGTTTGTCACCATTAGATGCTTTGTTCGGGTTGGAAAGTTCACTTGCACTGTCAACAAACGTATCATGCACTTATTGTTTCCTTTATTTCACTCTTGAGTTAGTTTTTACTGGTTTTTATCGTGAGTCATTGATTTGCACTTTTCGATGGTTTCACTCGGTAAAACTGATGTACTGCATATTTTACACTTAAGTCTTTGCACTGGTTATGAAATGTAACTGATTTTTATATCTTTTCCGCACTTAATTATTTTAAAATTGGTTATAACTAGGACTACGATGTTAACAGTGGCACTGTGGCGCCCTGGATTGTCTATTAATCACACATATTATGTCACCGTAATTATTATTATTTCTTTTTGTTACTTGAAATGTTTTTGGGTATTTCTACTCAGAATTATTAACTTATATATGCAAACCAACCACAAGGGCTGCCATCAAAAAAAGATGAACACTTCACCTACAAATAAAATTACATGAAATCAAATTATACATATGTATACATAAAATATACATTAATCTGCTGATACAATATAGAATATATCTGTCAGAATTACAATGTAAATTCGAATTTAAACAGCTAGACATTTTTTAGAATAACAAATGATTTTATTCTTTTATTTTTTGTTATTTAAGAGACGGACATTTTAATTTTGTTAGATGATTAACTATTAAAATGACTAAACCAATGCATCTTTTTATATATGGCAGGGCATAACATAAAAGCCTCTGATAATTTTCCGCTTACGTTAATTGTATATGAATATGTCAAACTAAAACTGTGAAAAACAGCCTTTCAAACTACTTAGCTAAATTTGATGGTAATCTGACGAAACCACAAATTGTAAATATAATATTTTTAGGTAAATGAATATAAAATATTGTTGAACCTATCTTACTCCATGTTTTGGTCAGAGCAGCAAATATGACATCTATAAAACAGTACGCAAAATATGAATAATTTAGGGGAGTTTTCCATAATTATGGATGGTTACATTGAACATTGTGAAAGTAAATGATTAAAGATCGATATAAAAATAATGGTTTTGAATATTAATGTGTGATAATAATGTAGCTGTCAAGCATAGAAAGCAAACAAGCATAAAATTTATATATATGTATATCAAACCCATCGACACATTGTGAACACCTTTTCACGTTTTTCATTGGTTAAAAAAATATAGAAATCAATTACGTCGAGAATTTATAAACCTTATCTTTACTACTAAGTTGTGCTTTGTGTCCGAAAGATTTAAAAACATTTACATATCATATCTTTGTATGAAACTTAGAGGGTAGTCATAAGTTTTTGTGACAATATTATATATTTCTTTTTTACTTGCGAACATTTTAAAAGCCTATCATTGTTACAGATTAAATAATTTCACTTAAAAAGCTCAAAAGTAAATGAATAATTATATACGGCATACCGAAAATCGTGGTATAAGAACCAGATGAACGTAACTACAAAAAAATTCAAAAAAGTTTTTTTTCATAAAACGGTTCTCAATATAGTCCTTAATGAATTGCCAAAACGACGTAACGGTAAAGTCAATATTTATTAAATTCCAAAAAAACGAAATAGCTTCAGAATAATTATCAATGGAACCAGAAAAACGTATTTAATATAAAGTTTTATTATTACGATGATGCTTTCTCAAATAAAAACAAATAATATATCTTTATTGCCTTGTTAAGACATTTCCTAATAGTTTTTACGATGTTTGATTTCTAGTCATATCTAAACGTATATGTGTTTATTATGTTTCGAACCATAATTATTTTTACTATGACTACCTATTCCATACTTAGATTTTGGTCACTTGTTGATAAATTACTTATTCGTTATCAAATTTCGCAGCCTTTACTCAGCCTGTATAATTCGTATGTTATAGTCATTGTGACAAATAAACATTGTCGTTATAACATTAATATGCTGAATATATTAGTAAATATGCTGATATGTATTTCTTAATGTTTATTCATTTCTTAATGTTTCAAAAAGGTGTTTTTATTACTCAGATTAATCGTTAAACTTTATCTGGAGATATTGTATATATGCGGCAGACGAAGATATTTTAACATTTTGAATAGTAGCACACTGAGCACAAGTTTACAACGTCACACAAGATATGAATTGTTCTAAATTTGTCATCAATATTGATTCGTGCAAAGATTTATTAACGAAAAACTGTGAACAATTCATATACATATGTATTGTTTGACGATGAAATCTAGAGGTAATCATTAAATTGTTAGAGATAATATAATATGTTAGTAAATTACTTGGGTACAGGTTCGATGTCCTTATTATTGGTAACATTTCCATCGTGTAACAGTTGAGCTACACGTGCCCTCGGCGACCAGAACGATGGCAGAAGACAGAACCACGGCTTCTGTTTGATGCCGTACTCGCCTAAAAAGATTTGACAAGAAGAAAATTTAATAAAAACATACAATACAAAATGACCAAAAAATGGTGTAAGCTATTGACCTGGTATAACAGCATCCAGCCAATACGCAGCCAGTCCATATAAAACGGTGTCCAATGCCATCATGATCAGACTTCCCCCAAACGGCACCCCGGGGCCGCTCCACAAATTCTCCCACGTCACTCCCACACCCGCCATATCAAGCACCAAAGCCTAATAGAAATAGCCAATAGATATTATTACGAACAACCACTTTTTTTCATGGGAAAAGAGGGCAACCGAGCAGACGGCCTGCTTGATGGTAGGTAGTTACCGTCGCCCATTGACATCTGCAACGTAGATCTGCACTACCCCTTTTTTTACCAACTGGATAGTACTATATTTTCACTACGTCATTGATAGTAGGAAATGAAACCGAAGGTGATAAAAAACTATCCAATAATTTCTCATTTGCCTTGGCCATGTAGAAATTAAAATTTAAGTAGACGAAAAACTAGACTAGAAGATTCGTTCAGATGTGAACAAAGTCTACAACAACAAGTAGAGACTCAAAGTGATTACTCGTTTTATAGTAAGAAGTATAATTTTGACAAGTAGTATCTCACTGTACTTTTATATATATATAACAAGTTTTTTGCTTTGTCACAGTAACAACTAAACTAAACTATAACTAAAAAAATACTGCTGTTCGACCATAACAGCTCAAAATCTTTTTGTGTCATAATATTTAAGAAACTTAAGGCATATTAACATTTCGATTATATTTTAATAATAGATCGCTACAGAAGGTTATCTCAAACATGTATAATAGTAAGGATAGGGTATATATGCAAATAGAGAATTCTAAATTTCTCTTTTCTTAGTCCTTCTATTCCAAATACCTTTCAATTAAACTTTTTTATATGTTAGAAAGCTTAGAAACTCTTGTCAAAATATTTTTCTGATCAACAAACCGTAATAACTCTATTTTGGAGCTATTTAAGCTTACCTTGTCCATAGCCAAAGCATAGCAACTGGAACTGATGAGGGAAACGAACCAAAAGGCTAACGAGTCAGCGTTAGAGACGAACACTTGTATGAAGTAGAGACCGCTCATGAGGTTGACAGCGAAACTGCCCAGGATACCAGCAGTCTGGGAAGAAATAGGAAAAAATCATTAATTATTGGGACATAGCTACTGATAGAGAATTGAAGAAAAAATACTGTGTACATATTATATTAGATTATTTAGAATATACTACGCGTGCTATATTTTTGTTAAAATTAAAGTACGAATGAGAGATGAGAAGTAATCGAATCATAGTTGCTGAAAAGTAGCCGAAACGTTGGGGGTATGTAGTTTTTTTACAAAAATGAATCACGCGTTATATATCCGAAATATAAGTTTCATTTAAATGAATAAAACTCGCGAAAGTCTTATATCTCATTACATATAGATGGAATTATTGAGGATTTTTATTGTATCTGTACGGACTGTAACTGCGCATACTGACATATTTCTATATATCCCTACTAATATTATAAATACGAAAGTAACTCTGTCTGTCTGTCTGTTACGCTTTCATGTCTAAACCACGGAAATGATTTTAATGAAATTTGGTACAGAGATAGAGTTGACCTTGAGAAAGAACATAGGATAATTTTTATCCCAGACTTTTAAAAGGTTCTCTTGGAAACGCGATATAACTGAACTCCACGCGGGCGAAGCTAAGGGCGGAAAGCTAGTAAAATATATAATACAAACAGACAAATTGTTTTAAGCACTTTTGAGTTATACTTAGTAGGTCCAATAATAATATAAAGTGGACCCCTGGTGAGAATAAAAGATCTAGCGGTAATTGGTTAGTTATAGCTCAGGGATAGAAGTAATTAACTGATTTATTTTTCTTGGCGATGGATAGATGAAAATAAAAGCCTAAATATATAATTAAAAAACATCATGCATTGAGCAAAAGTTTTACAAACAACATTTTGGTTGGATGGACTCAAGGGTAATAAACGATTTATTCTCAAACCTACCAATTGCATATAAAACGTGGTAAATATCTATCAGGCCTTGATATGAGTTTGGCAACTAATATATATGGGCAAGAAGTCATTATGTCTTCTTCTTCTTCTACCTGGCAATTTCCCAGCTATAGCCAGGGTCTGCCTTACATGTTGTGAATAGTTTTGGCTATTTGTTTTTAAGACCGGCTGCCTATCTGACATCAACCCTCTTTGGGATTCAGCATTAACCAGTGATGTCTAAATACTCTTAGAAAGTACGTATGACTCGGAAAAATTACATTGGTACTTGCCCGGGCCAGGATCGAACCCGCGCCCTCAGCATAATAGGCGGGCCTTTTTAACCACTAGACCACCACTGACTTATACAGTATATACATTATGTAATAAATAATCAAAACTCACCCTGGCTTTATCGAAGAAGGGAGTTAGCATGAACGCAAAAGTTATGATCGTGAAACCAAATAACAGCATTAGAAGGAAGATCAAGATGTATGAAGAGTGCTGGAACACCTGAAAATAGATGTTAAACTGTTTTAAAAACTTCTTCACGTGGTGGGGATGAATGAAAATAGCATATAACATACCTTCAGAGTGAACAGTAAAACGGTACTGACTATGGAGAGTATTGTGACGAACACCGCGTAGATTAAGAACCAAGAACCCCTGGAAATAAATTGTTCACGTACATTTTGCTGTACACGTAAATAATAGGACTTTATTATAAACTTCGCAATTACAACTATTAGCTATACAAATATGTATATGAACTATGGATAATATAAACACTAATGTCGATCAGAGATTTATGGCCAGCAAAAAAATTCTTTCAGCAAGCAATGATGAAAAATTACTTCATTAAATAATAATATAACGATCATGAATGAAGTAAAGCAGTCGCAATGGTGATGTGCAAACAAAATTAAAATTTAAATAGTAGCTATGGAAGTTTATTCAACAATCGCCCAGCAATCAAAGAATTTATGCGATAAATTTAAGTCTCGCTTAGAAAGAAAATCGCTTTGTATTAGTGTTTATAAGATTAATTCGCTATAAATAATAAGAAAACATGTACAAATGTATGCAAATAAACACGCAGAATTATAACTCCTTAAAAAATGACATCGCATATTTTTATAGTATATAAAGCGAGGGAAATTTCAAATATACAAAAACTAATAATATAGAAACCTTATGAAGATGAAATTGCATATAATATTTTAGTTGATGACTTTTAAAACAAAAACCATTTTTCTTTTAGCTAAAATATGACTTAAAGCATGGTCGCAAAGAATAATTTAAAATCACTATCGTTAGCAATGACAGGTCGTGATCATGTCAAGTTTTATTTACATATTTTATCACATTTCGTTGGCTTTGCTTTATTATGGACAATTGAAAGATCATACATAAAATTTGTTTAAAAATAAAATCGCAAATATTTTCGCACGCTTAAAGTACTCGCAAGATAGGATGACAAAAATAATAATAAGAACATACGAAAGAGATTTATTAAGGGTATAATAACAGTTAACTTACCAATAAACGCTGTCCTTTAATCCCATGATCCTCATTCCTTCCCTGATCTTCTTCTCCTTTTCCCCAACCACGAACATCAGTAAGTATGTGATGAACTGTGATAACGTCATCACCATGTACATAGGCATGATCACGCGGAAGATTACAAGCCAATCACCAGTGTGCTGCCGCTTAGGAAACTGACGGAAATCCACACGAGGAGGCAGGAAATTCGCTCCAGTCTCCATCTGAACGAATTATTGATTAAAAATGTTGTATTGTGATCAAATTCTCATTTTGAATGAATGTTTTCTTGAGGAAATTAAGTCTTCTTTATATATTGAGCATTTGTTTCAATGAGCCTAGCTAGTACATTATGATCAAAATTTATAGACCAAAAAAATATGCAAAATTTATCTTGGACCACAAATACGTTAAACTGTTTGAGAACAAATTGGAACAATTTAATCTGATTGTATTGTACACTAGTAATAATAATGAAAGAGGAGCAACCTTAATCTTGACGTAGTCGATCAATGTCTGTAGCGCTAGAAAGCCAGTGTAGTAATATTGAAGCACGGGGCAGGTGTCCTCGCGATGCATCTCCGATAGTGGGATAAGTTGACCGCCGCGGGACCAGTCCGAAGACCAGTCCTTATCTGACTTTGTACGCTCGCGACATTTCGCTGGAGAAGTACTCAGGGTTCGAGTGGAAGGAGTACCGCCGTCACGGGAGGGATTCGTCCGTATTGTGTATCTAATTATCAAAATGAGTTTCGTTAATTTCAGAACTCATATGCCATGATATCATATAGCATATAGTTCAATATTGTACCTAAGTGGTTCTCCGTAAGCTCCAGGGTCTGTATGGAAGATGACTGCGAGTGGAAAATGTTTGGCGTTGTTGTGGTAAGCGTCGTTGAGTTCCGTGGTATTGTTGTAGCGGATCCAGTGGATTTGGTGTTGTCCGGACTCGCGGAGCAGAGAGTTGATGTCATCCAGGAAACTCTGATATTCATTATTAGTACAAAAAATTCAATTTCATATTATATTATTCTTGCTTTTCGCATGTTTTAGTTTGTGCGTACTTATTTGCTGCTTACTAAATAGAAAGAAGACTTCCTGGTTTCATTAGAAACATAAAATATTAATAATAACTATGTGTTAACAACAAACACCGCAGAATGTTATTTAACTGCAAGTGCTACACGTTAATTTTTTACCAACAAACTTTTAACTTTTCCAATTTTGCCCACGTCTTCGCCTGCGAGAAATATAGGCTTGCAAAAGCATAGTTTTTCACTAGTGTTTATATAAAGATACTTTTAGTATAAAAAATAAAATCCAAACACATTTATTTAGAAAATAAGATTTTATAAAAACTGAAGATATAAAGAGGCAAATGCGCCTCTATATGTGTTGTCAATATACATCACTCACCAAAGTGCCATTAGCAGTTTCCCAATCCGCCACAACGGCAACCGAGTGGTTATCCGAGATGACATCGTGATGAATCCTTAACAGACGACCAGGTTTCCGTACTTCGGGGAAATTCGGGTTCGGCACCAACATTTTCAGGAAGATCAACACACCCAGAGAATATAAAGGAACCAAGACTTCCTGATAAATAAAAAACAAAAGTAAGCAAGTTTCCAAATAGTTTCATACCTTTTGAATTGATTTATTGAATTAAGTTTGCAGTAGAAAGAATTTTAATATTAAAAGAGTACAACAACAAAAATATAAAAATTTATCATCAGATGGAGCAAAACTTATGTATATTTCGCTCTTCAAACTTTTAAAGAGACATGTTGTTAAAAACTTTACACTCTCTAGGTACAGTGGAACTTTTATGATTTAATAAAATAAAATAAAAACAAATTTTAACTTTAATAACACCTAATTTTTCTAACTGATGAAAAACTTAAGTCCGAAGAACTAAACTGCCCTCCACAGAACACCAAGTCTAGGACTATCAATTAAACTACGTATTACGTCTGTTGTAATTTTGATCATGCAGTCTGTTTCGCTTACGGCAAGAGTTTTTCTGGTGTCCCGTTTCTTGAGCAGCAGATTCCTGACGACGGTCGCCCATAGTTGGGGCCAGAAGGCAGCGGGAGGGCGGGTACCCATCGTGCCTCTAAGCCTGCTACCTATCGCCACACAATCTGGCTCCTTGTCGCATTTTCTAAAAAAGAAAACACAATATATCATCAACCTTTCAAACTTTTAAAGCTTACAACAAATTCTGTATGACGAAAAAGTAAAGCACATATGTAATTTAATGCAGCTATTTCTTTTATTGCTACTTTATTATTCAAATGGTCGAATTTTAAAACATAAAATTATGTCAGTATGTCATCCAGTTCGGCTTCAAATTTCTTTGTGACTTTGTGAAATTTCTTTGTGACACAAAGTCTAAGACATCTTAGCAGCTTTAAATTTAATAAATTCAAAAGCTTCAATTATTATTTAAAATATTTTATTTTAAAGTACTTTACATTGGCCATAAAACTGGTCTGCTGAGTTATATATAGATCGTTAATAACTCAAAATCTGAAACGATATATGTGGGATGTCCCGATAATTAGTTAAAAGGTTTCGGTTTGCCATTGTTAAAAGCTCCCGTTATATTTGTGTACAGCATTACATAACAAAGGCTTCATAAATCGTCACAGCTCTCATGCACGTGGCTAATCCAACTAAATGCACTTACGTCATCAAAGCACATTGAATCGATTCGTTAAACCGTCGCTTTTAATTAAATTACAGTTTTCAGCTATGTTCACTTTCATTCAGCTTTCATATAATACGTATTTTTATGATTCGCGTTTCATTTTTAAGAGGATTGCAAATACGACAACGGTTTTAGAGGCTTATATTATTTTTTTGAGGTTTTATTTAATTTTCAGCTGATACTTTGTATGAATTGAACTTAATCAAAAATATTTTTCTTCTGAATCGATTAATAACTTCTAGCATTCCATAGAACATTACCCCAAAGATAGCAAAATGGCTTTATATTCTTAATAATATTTATGACCTATCTTCTCTGTCTTAATTGTCTTTGATTCAGACAATGAAGATATCAAATATGTACATGTGAATGAAGGATAAACGTTAATTACGAAGAGTAACAAAGCTACAATCATATTATTGGAAAAGTTATATTAAAGGGAAGGGTGCGCCCGGAAGTACGGCCATGACAGGTGTACGGCGCCAAGGGGACTACCCTCTTAAAGCAGGGTGTTTTACTCATATCCTATAGTGTGGTAAACCTGTATCAATTAAAAAAATATGCCATATTCCCTTGAAACAATATTCACATTCAATATTTTGATATAAATTTATCTTCGTTAATAAAACTTCATGATAAATAAATTCTCTAACAATAATTTATCATTTTATTAATAAACAAGCTCGTTCCATTCTCGAAATACTTAATGTCTGCTATTCTAAAGAAATAATTGTAGAATATTTATGTGAAGTCAAAACATCGGGTTGGCTCTAAATAATACTTGATATTATTTTGTTTCATTACAATTCAATGTTTCTTTTATATTGTAAAAATCTAAGAATAAAATCGACAAGTAGATAGCCAAGTGCTTATTAAGCCGATTCCATCTTGTTGAACAACAACACCGTCAATATTAAATAAAGTTAATAAAAATATGAGAAGTAATCTCTTACACAAGATAAATCCTCAATAAAATGAAAACTTGACAGAATTAATTCCACGCACGAATAGTTCTGTATAATTAACATTATCGAAGTTATGATAATATAACCTTGATTGATTATACGTGTTTCGCATATCATCTCCATAGTTATGTAAACTACCTTGCGCCTATGACTTTACATGACTTTGAACAAAATAGTTTCACTCAGGCACTTCGTAGAATTCAAACTATATGGAATACCAAGAGCATTATAAAAATATTGCCTACCTACAGATCGCTGTAGAAGTAGTTATTACAGAAATTTCCGTTCGCAGCTACAGACGGATCTTCCCTTCCTTCCTTCAAGGAAACTTAAGAAATTTGATAAAGAGCTAACCGTAGCTAACCGTACCGTATCTTTGGATAAAAGTAGAAAAATATTTATAGTAAAAAACATTTTTTGGAGATCGTTTTCGACTGATCAACAAAAAACACACTTACTTCAAGAAAAACAGTTACATAACTGTATCCTGCATAATGTATTGATTAAATATGCACCGTATTGTAAGTTAATACGTTTTGGTGCGACAATTCTAGAAAGTCGAAACCACACCCACAGTTGAAAGGTTTCAAACGAAGGTGGGGTTACTTCCTTGATTAAATTCTAGTATATTTCCAAATTCATTCACACATCCAACACTTGCTTCTTATATTTTTAACTTTAATTCGATATCATTTTGACTAATGGCAAAAAAAAATCTCTGATTTTTTTAAGTTCCAAATAATCTTTTGTGTTAATTGACGAATTTTAATAATTTTATTGAATTCCATAGATTTTGTGATCACACATGTTTTGGACAAATTTTTAGTTCGAACTGACGAAACACTACTTCGATGACGGCCAATACTTTAACCATTTTTAACACAATATTTCTTCAAAAATGTCAACAAGCACCCATTACTTTTTGTGTATTCTATAATGAAAGCTTTTACGAAAATATGAAGTATATTTAGATTTTAATTAACAGTAATGGAAATGGTATATTTATAGGATAATTGATAATACCAAAACTGTCACTAAATGCGTCATCGATGACCCTGAGTGTATCGGATGTCATCCGAACACCACCATACCGCAACGAATTACTGAGTAAATGCACGGGCTTAAATTAATATGCCTTGCTTATTCAAATGAATTGAATGCCAATATTAATGAATGTTTAAACATTAAATGCTTACGTAACCTATCAATTAATTATACATACTATTATGTTTTATATTTTAATCAAGCTTTATTTGAGATATCGTTTCGTTTTGTTTGTTGTTTTAATTAGCTTCTGTCCACATATTAATTTATTCTTTTGTTATTTTCTGTAATATGCATTTTACTAAGTAATTCTCAAGTTAGACGTACTGTTGCAAACTGTCTAATGGTTTTATTCTTGACAGTTGGTGCTTCTAATAGTAGAAGACGCGGTTTACCTCCTAATCTCCACAAATGAATTCTATTCAAAATTACAACCGCCTCTGAAGGAATGCTTTTATTGTACTTGGTGTATGCTAACGTGAAGATTGCATTTACTTTAAAGGTGATATGTAGATCCTATATATAAATACTGGTAGGAACTTTTAATATTATCTTATTTTAACAGCCTATTTAACCAAAGAGTTCTTTTGGTAAGGTTAAAAGTAATATCATACTAAGAATTATGATCTCTTGTGCGAAAATGGTATCATCTTAACCCAATTTTAAGAACGAGGCAGTCCCGTAACAGCAATTAGTAGTCTGCATTGAAAGAGTTTTATAAAGAGAAATAAAATATACATTTAAAATTATATAACAAAAGAACATGGAAATTTTAATTGCTGCTTGATGTGGTCCAAAAAGCATTAATTAATTTTTAATAACTTAATGAACATTAAGTATCTTGCTAAAACAATTGTTTCTGTGTTATGTTTTAATGCTATAGAATAATAAAAATATCCTTCCACAAAATTATTAATAAAAAAATTAAATAAAGCACAATTTATAAGTTATTATCACGTCTTTTTTATTTTCAAAAAATAATCGCTACTAATGTATCCTATCCCCACTCTAAGGTAGTAAATAAAAGAATTTCTTACATTTATATTATATTATAAGTATGCAAAATCACTGAATCACACTCTGAGAGGATTAAGCTCTCAACAAAGTGCTTCTCTTACTTTACGTTCACTGGAGAACATGGTAGAGTGATGATTACAATCATGTAGTATGAAGATAAATAATTACGTTACTACGATTATTATTTCAAGTTTTCTTTATAAAGATATTCCATATATGATTAAAATTTTATGTGTAATATATTTTTAAATTAATCTGAAATTCTTCATGGTTTCAAGTTGTTGATCCTAAGGAATCAGTCGCTAATAAATTCATATGTACGAAATAATAATCACCAAAAAATTCATCATAACATTTTCTTTCTCTTTCCATCTCCGCCTGGGAATGTATCGATATTTCTTTTAATAAATTACTTACTTTGTGTAGTTGTTTGCATGTTTACACTCTTTTACGCATATATTGCATTACCTTAAAGAGTTATTACTTTAGAAAATATATAACATACATTTAATGATATTTACTTAAATGCAATGCAATATTATATATTAAATACCGATGAATCGAGTAAAAGGCAGGAACATTTACATTACAACCACAAAGCTATTAAACATAAATACAGTACGAATAAATTAATTATTACTTAAATCGAATGTTAAAATCAGTTGCGATCCCGTATTATTTGGCAAACGGCGCATTTTATTTCGGAACAATTAATACCGAACGACTGATCCATAATAATACAATGTCAAATCAAATTAGAAACGCGTAACTGTATTAGAGTTCGGTGTGAAGTACAAATTATATTATACAAATTATGACGTATGAAACAAATCGGTACATACATTGTATTTGCACGTGCTGTCTCATAAATACATATGTACATACATTATACAACGAGCAGTGTGCTTACCACAAGTCTGCATTTCGACACTACATACTGAGCATTAGTGTTCATTCATAAATATTTTCATAGTTTTCCTCCTTTCCATATCAATCCTCTTTCACTTTCAGTCTACAAATATTACGGTTTCAGAACCCATATTAATTAATTTTTAATTTTCCTCATCTAAATATAAATCTGCATACATTGAATAACAAATATCCGACGTTAAAACTTAAAATTGTTGAGATACTATTTTTACTGAACTAAACTAAAAATACTCCCGGCGTGTCACACTCCGCCAATCAGCTGGTGAAGTCTTTCATTATACAATTTCTGGAAGTGATTCAAATCTAATGATTCTGTATTTTATAAGAAACTATACGATAACATCAAAAAAAGATCCATCGAAGAATATACATATTTATGAATGATGAGAAATTATAAACTTTTAGATTCGACCATTATATACGCGTTTTTCTCAAAAATTGCAATCACGTTTGAGTAGGTTTTTCATTACTTCAAGTTCTTATATATCTATGATTAAATAGAATTCTAATACCTATATATA